AACAAAGGGTCAGATAAAGACAAACTAAAAAAAAAACTATTGAAACCTGACTGTGGAATGGAGGCAGCCAGAGGGGGAGGAGGAGAAGGGGAGAGTTGAGAACAAAGAGGAGACGGGGAGAAGCTCATTCTGGCAACAATGCCTGAGGGGGGATCATACCGGCTGTCGCTGTCTGTCATAAACAAGCATTAACGCAATAGAAAATATTTCTGCAGTTTTTGATCAAGACTTTAAGTTCTAAGAATTGGGCACAGTTCTACGAAGGTTACTTATATCTTTGGAGATACCTTTGTATCTCACTCTCACACAACCAAGTGTAGCACATAAGAGGTATTGATAAACCCTTGTCAGATTAATAAATAATGATGCAGCATAAAAAATAAATTTTAAAAAAGGGATTCATATCGTCTTTTTTGAAATCCAGAATATATACAGGGGTGTGCCCTCCCCCCTTTCTTTTCTTTTTATGTGTGTGACTACAGTCTTCCCTAAATGGAGGAGGGATACAGTATTGCTTGACAATAAAGGGGAAAAAAACATCAGAATAACAAAAGGTACAAAGATGAGGTTTATGCAGAGGGAAGAAGCTAATAGCAACTTGGTGTTGACTTACCTTTGTGAGTAAAAGGTTGATCGTGCGCAGGACTGTCATTCACACAAATCCACAATGCACAAGTCATCGGTAGGTGGGTGAGTATGGGAGTCTGTGTGACAGAATGTTGAGATTTTATAGGCTGGAATCACAGAAAACCAACCCCCAGCCCATATAAGTTGACACTGGTGTTGAAAAACCCACATGGGAACTTACTGATGGCTTTGCAGGTCTGGAGGACCTTCAGGTGCTGATAAAGTTATTTTTGGAGTTGTTGGATTCAGAGAGTAGAGTTCTTGGGTTCACTCTGGGAAGTTTCCCAGAACGCCCCATTCAGTGACACATGGCCAGTCTCCCAGGCAAGTTTCTCCATGAGACAGAGCCATTAGTGATATCCAAAAGGGCGGGTTTATAATAAAAGGGAGAGAAGAATAAAGGACACTTCCATCGATGTAAGCAGGCAGAACCGGCTTCCCAAAAGGGACACAGGCCTGCACGGACACAGGCCTGCACGGTCACAGGCAGGAGGCCTTGAGGGAGCTGCCTCTGTGGAGGCAGATCAGTGAAGAGAAGCCCCGGATGGTACAGATCACAGAGAGAAGGGAGGTCTGCCCTTTGGAGCGGGATTTGGCAATAGAAACACCTGCATAGCCACAGGTGGGCAGAGGGCTGCTGCCTCATGCCAGGGCAGAGATTGCGCTGAGAGAGATTACTTTTCTTTGGGAGGGGCTCACTCCTTTGTGGAGTGGCTTGTTTGGTGCTGATTTCAGATAATGGTAGAATTTGAAAGGGACCAGAAATTCTATAAGGGTGCCCAGTCTCCACATCTTTACCCCCAGTCTGCATCCTGTGACACTAACAGTATCTGACACTCTGCTTGGGCCTATGCCTTGTAGCCTAAGATTTTAGCTCCTACTCCTGGTTTAACACTTATGGTAGTCACCTGTCCCCCACTTCTAGCTGCCGGCCTTGTGTGAGTCTAGTGAGTCTTGTGGCGGCTCCTTGCCAACTTTTCTATCCTTATCCTCCATCACTGCCTTGTGAGTTACTGTGATATATATACTTTAGGATTTTCCCCATCCTGGCACAGAACTCTTAAAACCCTTGTGATTTCTTAACTGCTGGTGTTTTGCTATATTAAGGAGGTGAATTTTGGAAAGCAAGAAAGTAGGTGCTGGTTGACAGTACAACCAAGCATTTGATTAGTGTTGAACTTTCATTTCTACTCTTGTGCACAGGGAGGAGAGAGGAGCTGAAAGTTTAGTTAATCCTTGTTGGCCAATATTTTACTCAATCGTGCATGCTTAGTCAAGAAGATGCCATGAAAATCCACTAGGATAGGGTTCAGAGGGCTTCCAGGTTGAGATTACTGAATTTCCAAAATTAGGTCCTGTGCTCAGTGTACAGCTCAACCCAATCACAGAAATTTGGCATTTGGAGTAGAGAAAGCTCATCTAAGAAGGTAGAATTGAGAAGAAGGGAGAACAATTTTCAAGTCCATTTTCCTGCAGCCATCAGAGCTGCCCATGACACAGGAGAACAGGGACTGTAGAGTGTGCAGGGGTGGGGTCCATGGGAACTTATATGGTTTCACGAGTTTTGATAGGGTCATAGCAAGCAGACTCTGGTTGCTTTTGTCTTGTTTTTTAAAGATTTTATTTTTATTTATGCATACAAGAACTGGGGTATAGGTCACAGATGCGAGGGTAAGAGGATTCACCAGAGACAGAATGGGGAACAGAACAGGTGATCTGCTAGAATCCACCTGAGGGGAGCAGTGGGGGAGACAGGAGAGGTCTGCTGGCTGGGGAATGAACTCGTGCTACAGTGGCTGCCTACAGCTTGACAATGTTGAGACTTAACCCCTTGCACCACCAGGCAGGCCCCTGATTGGTTTTTTACTGATTGGTTTTTTATTGAATATATTTTAGTAGATTCTATTTGTCTTGAACAGAGCAGGGGAAGTATTATAAGGAATTATTGCTACTGATTTAGAGTTATGATTAGCTCATAAGGACAGAACTCTAGTAAAAGAGAGGTGGGCAATGGATTATGTGTTTTTCCAACTTACATAAATGTTACTGTCTATTAAATTTTATATTTCTTGTGTAAGTTTTGACAATTACTTTGATATCTTAGTATGTTCAGCAGGTGCAAGGAACCTACATGGTCCCACAGAGCTTATGTATGTCAGGTCAACATGGCCAGAACAAAGGGACTGCATAAGGCCTGATACTGGAGAGTGCCAGAGTGCTATGAGCATCAAAGAGGCAGTTGTGGGGCTCTCCCTGGTGGTGCAACGGGGTTGGGACACAGCACTGCAAGCTAGCCTCAGCAGCTTTAGTGTGAATTCAATCCCCAACTCCAGAGGTGATCCACATGGTGCAGCAGACTTCTCCTGACCCGCCCCTGCTCCCCTCAGCAGTGTATTTCAGTCAGTCTTCCTGTTCTGCTCCCCACTCTGCCTCTGGTGAATCTTCTCACTGCCCCTACAAGTCTGGCCTATACCCCAGTTCTGTATGCACAAATAAATAAATCTTTAAAAATGAGGCAGTTTTGATTGAAATACCAGCAATCGTAGAAGCAAGCTGATGTCTACTCCCCAATACCCATAAATGCAGCCACATTCTGTAATGTGGCTCATGTCATAATGGATTCAGTCTTTTTTGCCCCTTTCAGCATTTTTTTTTAAATTGGGCATCCTGTCTAAGCCCAATGGCCCTAAACCTTCTTCACTTAATGTGCCAGTTACTTTACCTACACTGGTCTCCTGACTTAGGACTTTGGGCTTTACACACAATGGCATCTGTTGTTTCAGTCTTTCTTTAGATAACACCCTCAAAGTTCATCTTCTACATGTAGAAGAAGCCAATATAAGAAGCCAATACTTATAATACTCAGTTCTTGTTCCCATGGATTCTGTCTTTCTGGTTTGCTTTGGTGAGAAATTATGCTATAGCTCCGGATGCTTTTACCAGGAGAGTTAAAGGAAAATTGTTTTTATACCCACAACCCCTCAGACACCAAATGTGGTTTTGATTCCACAACAATCAAGTCTTCAGTTCTTTTTTTTTAAAAAAGATTTATAATTTATTTATGCATACAGAACTGGGGTACAGGGCAGGGACGGTGAGAGGAATCACCAGAGACAGAGTGGGGAGCAGAACAGGCAGATCAATGAGGCACACTGTAGAGGGGGGCAGCGGGCAAGACAGGAGAGATCTGCTGTGCCATGTGGGTCACCTCCAGGGCAGGGATCAAACTCACATGAAGCCCTGTGGCCAGCTTGCAGTGCTGTGCTTTAACCTGCTGCGCCACCAGGGAGGGCCCCAAGTCTTCAATTCTCTGTGGGCACCAATTGGGTAGCCTAAAATTTAATTTTATTCTGGCATTGACCACCAGAGTTAGTGTAGACTCACAGGATAAGGGATCAACTGCCTAAGACTGATTCCATTTCAGACACTACTTTGGTAGTGGGTGCCCAGGGTAACCACACTTCTCATTTTCATCTTAGCTGCTGAGGTTCCTTTGAAGCCCTTCCTGGGACTGATCATTTTCTAGAACAACTCACAGAACTCAGAAAACAGTTGACTTTCATTGGTTTATTGTAAAGGATAAAACCTAGGAACAAGCATTTGGGAAAGGTGCACAGGACATGTGTGGGAAGGACTGTGGATTTTACATGACTTCTACAGGGTCACCACAAATTGAACTCTCAGTACCCAGTCATTTAGGACTTTCATAAAGTTTTTATTGATTAAGTCATTGGTAACTGGTGAATATACCAGTCTCCAGACTCTCTTTCCTTCCCACAGGCTGGCTGACATATGGCAAGTTCCAATTTATAATCATGTCTTGGTCTTTCTTGTCCCCACCCTGAAACTATTTAGGGACTCAGCCAACAGTCATCTCAACTTTAAACCAAATAGACAAGCTTATTACCCATTGAGTTCTGAGGCTGTCAGAAATTCCTGTGTCAGGAGACAGGGACTAAAACCAATTTTTCATGTAAAAATATGCTTCCTCCTACTTATCAACCAGGAACTGACAAGAGCTTTGGAACTCTGTGCAAAGAATTGGGGACTGTCCTTTCTGTTATGTCACATTAAGAGTGGAAATACTGGAGACTGCATGAAAATTCAGACCCACATAAATAATTAGCCATTCCTCCACCCTCCCCTGTAAATGGCCAGACAGAACTCCTATTTTACGCAGCCAAGTTCTGTAACAAGATACTGGCAACAAGGCAATTCAGTTGAATGCCAGCCCATCACACAGGCCTGAACTGGGAAGTTCCATGTGGGCAGGAGATGCACAACTAACCACCAGGATATCAGGTGTCACTAGGCTCGCTGAGACGTGGGTCATGTTGACCCTATGCCCAGTCCTGGACTTCGGCTCTCCCCAGGATGAGGTAGATGACCAGGCCTACTATGTCAACAGCAGCTGCAACGAAGAAGACATTTCTCCAACCATACTCAGAATCCTGGAGGTAGGAAACTATGGGTTATTAGTGTTTCTAGTACTTGTCGTCCTGTTTCAGAAAAGCTCAGATGGTGCCATGTCATATTGCCCCCAACTCCGACTCTAGTCAAGGAGCTTCCAGCTTGTTCCTTGAATAGGAGGTAATTTGCTATACATTGACCTTCCCCTCTGTGGAACAGCCTCCCTTAGAGAGCTATTTCCTCACTCCTTGATTGCATCCTTACTTGAATGCTACTTTTTCAGTGAGTCTTTCCTACATCATCCTGTTAAAACTTGTAAATCACCCCTTCTTTCGTGCCCTCTTCTCCACTCTTGTGGGCTTCTTTTCTTAGCACTTACCACCCCTTCCTCAATGTACACATATTTTACTCATAGCATCACTGTTTGCCTGGAAATTTTCCTAAAATATAGGGTTTGAAGGCTTGTTTCTTTTATTCACGTAAACATTATCTAGCCCATGCTAGTGTTCAACAAATAACTGTTGAGTGGTGGATGGGTGAATGAATGAATGCGTAAAAAAAAAAAAAAAAGGGGAAAAAATGTTAGTTTGTGAATTTTCAATTTAAACAACTATTTCCTGACAGTGTATAGTCAATACATGGAATAGAATTAAATTTTTAAAGAGCAAAAAGACTTGAAGTTACATGTATTGCACTTCCATCCTATTCATCATTAATTACAACTTACTGGTAATACCACAAGAGTCCTAAAGAATGGTACTCATGTGAATGCCACAGACATCTTTCTTCATAAAAATGCTGTGTCAGTAAGGGTCTTAGGAAAATCTAATCATCAGCTGTGTAGTCTCCGTATTCTGACAAAGATAACGGCATTTTAAAATATGGAAGATTAGGATCCTCCTGGGTGGCGCAACAGGTTAGGACTCAGCACTGCAATTAACTACAGCCACTTCAGTGTGAATTTGATCCCCCAGGCCTGGGACTGACCCACATGGCACGGCAGACCTCTCCTGACTCTCCTGCTGCTCCCCTCAGCAGTGTACTTCATGGAACTGCTTGTTCTGCTCCCCACTCTGTCTCTGGTGAAGCCTTTCACCGACCCTGCACCTCTGGCTTCTTCCCCTGTTCTGTATGAATAAATAAATAAATCTTTAAAAAATATATATGGAAGACTACCAATGCATAAAAACATGCCAGTGATGGTGGTCAAAGGAGTGTCCACAATAATCATTGATGGACATACAAGTGCCAGGAACAGGTTGTTCCTTCAATGTGTTATTCATTCAGCATCATATTCGTTTGGTAAATATTTGGTATTTACATAACTGGTCTTCCTAATTGGCCAGTTCTTTCTGTATTTACCAGGGCTCTCAAAGATTCAGATGGCATGTGTCATATCCTGGGGAACTGGAATCAGGCAAACCAAAATTGATGGCCATTCTCTCTTTACAAGTGTAAGCTAAAACCAACAATGAAAAGGATCCCTGAGTCCTTAGTCTCAACTGAGGGGTACAAACATGAAGTCAAGGTACAGCCAGATAGGCCTGGACAAGTCAGCAACATCAAAGAATGTTTCCTTCTGGAGAATAAAACACCCAGTAAACAGTAACTCCACAAGGCAAATTTTAATAACTGTTCTTGTCTACCTCAATTCATAGGCAACACCAGTAGAGATATTTATAGGGCACTGGTCCCATTTTCTCTGGAAAAATCCTTGACAATGTCAAATATTTTCCTTGCAGTCAATATAAAATTTTCATTGTGAAGCTCAGAATTTAAAGGAATTTCCCAAAGTTATGAGACACTAACCCCAGGCATGTCTTAAGTTCCTTAAACTCACATAATTTATTTTAATCAAGACATGGCAGCTCATGTCTCTCAGAGATTTTGCAGGAATCCCTGGAGTGGGGAGCAGACCCAAAGTCACAGTCCCAACAAAGGTCTTGAATTTATGACTGGCCCAACCATCAGCCGACACTTGGCTGTAGAGGCTGCCGGCCCACTTTGAATTGTTTTCGTGAACTCACTCCCCTGGGCACCTGAGAAGATTTCTTGGGACAAGCAGTAGTTTCTGAAACCCTTCCCCACAGTGGCCAGGAAGTGTTTTCTATCAACAGACATATGATCTGCCCTAAGTATATGCAGGTAAACTTCCATAGTTCCAATGGGGCTTTTCCAATGCCCACAGGGCCATTTGCAACCTAGCAGATGGATTCATCCAGATGCCACCATCACAAGGTTCCCAGTTTGCATGAATTGTGACTTGTCTGCTCCACTTTGGAGAGAAGATTTCCTTGCAGGAGGGTCAAGGTAGCAACAGTAGATGAATCATTTTTAATCACATCATTTCAGTGCTTCTGCTGGATTGCACAGTGATCATGGAGTGCACTTTGGTGGATAAATAACTGAAGAAACTATTAAGGTGCGACTCACATTTCCACATTTTCATGTATGTATCAACCAGTTCCTTCGGACTGGTGGAAAGCATGAGTGGAACGCTCAAACCCCATTGGCACAGTTGACAGGTGCTTATACTATGTTGATCTACAATACCCAGGCCTAGATCCCTCTCATTAAGTCACTCTAGATCTCCTCAAGTTGCTGGCTGGGAAGGGATATAAAATGTCAAGAGATAAACTGTAGTTTCTTAATGGAAATTGCTCTTGTTACTCAATTTCTTTTATCATAAAACATTTAAAATAGTGCCAAAATTGCTAACTAGTATGGAAATTTCAGAAAGCATAAGCTCATAAAATTGGACATTTTCCCTCACTCCATGCTCAAACCAGTGGCCACTTTCCTTCACAAGTGAGAGTGTGGTGATTGTGAAAGTATGTAGGATTCTTGGGGACTCTTGAGCTACATGCTGAGTCATTTGGGGAGGGAATAAAAGTTCCCTTAGTCTGACTTCTACTGGGTGACAAAACAGATTTGGCCTCTGTATATTTTCATGAGAATGTTTCCTCACCTGATTGATGAAATATCCACTAACGGTGGGAGAGACTGCTCCAGCTAGGGAAGAAAACACTTGCGATAGTCCCTTGAGAAAGGCACTGTACCTGAGAGAGAGAAAAAACATCTATTGTAAATAAATGGTTGGTTTCTCCTCATGCTTTGCCAATCTGTGTTTATCTCTGCAGATGCCTGTGGCTGGGCTGACACTGGGTCAACCTGAATGTAAGTCCTGACAGGATTAGTAGGATCCTATACTGGGTTCAGAGACTTCCAAGGGGTCTCTTGTACTAATTTCTTAACTCTGTTTATACAAAATATACAGTTTAGGATGGCGTACCAGGCTTATGTTCTTTGGACTCTGCTGTGAAGCCTGATGTTTCAGAATGAAGGTTTTGTGTAATATATCTCTCTTGTAGTGTATCAAAGACCTTTCATTAAAATACATGGCTCCCCTGGCCCTCCCTGGTGGTGCAGCAGGTTAAAGCACAGAACAAAGAAGCTAAAGCCACTTCCGCATGAGTTCGATTCCCGCCTGCCCCGGAGGTGACCACATGGCCCGGCAGACCTCTCCTGACCCGCCCACTGCTCCCCTCAGCAGTGTACTTCGTTGACCTGCCTGTTCTGCGCCCTGCTCTGTCTCTGGTGAATCCTCTCACCTTCCGCATCTCTAGCCTATACCCCAGTTCTGTACGAATAAATAAATCTTTAAAAAAAAAAATACATGGCTCCCCTGAGCATGACCCAAAAATGCTACCTCATTTACAAGGATAACTGTGTTTTTTTTTTTTTTTACTGTGAAAGGAATCTGGGAGCATTAGTGAAAATTCACTGACCTCTGATATCAGAGCTGTTCCCCTCCTTTGGCCTGCAACGCCTTACATGAGCAAGGCTTGTGGAGTTTCCTGAATCCTGTCAGGGGCCCAACCCTATGTGGTAGATTATGTCCCATGGCCAGAGATCCCTGGGTTTCTCCTTACATTGAGCTGTGAGTGTGTCCACTGTCTAAGCCTTTTTGCACCGAACAAACTAAGTTGAAAATGGTAGAACAACCTGGAGTCTCCCCAGGAATTAGCTCAATTCTGGATATGATACTGACAATTCCTGTGACCTGTGTCAGGTGTCACTCATATTTGACCCAAGTGTCAGAGAAGGCCTAAGCCACTGGACCAGAACTGAGTCTCTAGGAGGAAAAGCAAGACTCCCTACCGAGGAGCAATATCCACCATGTTGAGAAGCGCTCCTACTTCACACAAGTTGCGGAAGACAGAAGTCAGTACCAAGAGGGCCAGGGTGGTGCTGTGGCTGGATCTCACCCAGGGCAGGGACAGGTGGAGTCCAGTTGGGATGAGAACCCCTGGGAGGAGACAAACACAGCGAATAGGCAGCTCCCTGAGCTTCCCACACCCACCCTCTGTGCTTTGGTTCTTACCTATGGTAGTAAAGAGTTTCCTGATTGTGATGAGCCTAAGGATTTTTCTGGAGAGGAGAAAACCAACCAGTTGACCTCCAAGGATAAATATGGGAAAAGCAACAAAGAGCGGCAGAGCTGACATGATCCCACTCTGGGGGAGAGATGAGTGAGGGACATGTCATCACCCCCATAGTAAGGGAGACTGAGCTGTGGGGAGATTGTCTAGATCTCTGGTTATTCATTATATGTTCATCCTCTCCAGTTCAAATCCATGTTACTGCTATGAGTCAATAGAATGTTAATGGTTTCAGGAAAAGATTCATAAAGCTCCATTTGAGGGGAAAAAAGGAGATTTTTTTCCTTGCATATATAAATATTCCCTGCAAAAAAAGATGTTTAAAAGAGCATGAGTTGGTACGAAAATAGGCCAGTAATGTGAACACACAATCTGCAGAAAATGAAAAATGTGTATGTAAGGAATTTGTTAAAATGTATAATAGAGTGATGTTCATTTGTGTATATCGCTGCACCTCCTGCGGAGTCTGCGTAAGCAATCACGCCGACGTTCGCTCATAGTTCAAGGAACAGGGCGCGCAGAGGGATATCGTGGCATTTTACGGTATTTTGGAGCCTGACTTCCTGCTTGCTGGATTCTGTTCTTAATAATGCTTTCAACCAGTTAATGTTTCTGTACATAATGATAAGATTACCACTGCCAGTAATGAAGTAAGTGACAAAGAATAGTTAATGTGAAAGGAAAAAGTCAGGGGGTTGAGTCTTATCTTTTGGAAAAGATTAAAAAGTTCACCTCCTCCTTGGTACACGTTAAACAAAGCACAATAAGAGTATATTTTAGAACAATACCATAAGTCTCTACTATATTTGCTTAATCATAAAGTTACTGAATGGCAATGATGTAGAGACGATGTAGCAGAAAGACAAAAGGCTCTTTGAGCAAGGCAACAATAGGGGATGGAATTAAAAGATTAATTAGACAAAATGTACCAAACGGATAAATGACCACATTCACCCAGTATCCACTACTGGATGTTCCCAGAACATGGTCACCCCCTTTTCCCATCCGCTTCTAAGAAAATGTAACGCATCACCTTTTACTGTTCCGCTAAATATGTAACTAAACGCTGATGTAATCATTATTCTTGCCAAAAAATACTGTGTAAATACAAAAGCTTACTTCTCCACATTACATTCAGATACGCACTCTTGAAGTCGTGTCTGTCTGTCATTCATTCAGCCAAATCCTTATCCACCTCCCTTCGAGACACTCATCACCCTGAGGTCCAGAGCTCCCCACTGTGCTGGTCTGCGGCACGTGTAGGCTTGCATTCTCAGAAAAGCACAATGGGGAAAGTTCTGAGACACTCATAAAAATTTATGTGTACAGGGAGCTGTGAGAAGAGGGGAGATTGGGAACAGAAAAGAGAGCAAAATGCATCACTCTGCATTTTTATATTTAAAAGATTTTAAAATGCTGAACCTTGTTATTTTCAATTTGGCTTCTCTTTTAAATTGCTAGTAAATAAAACAAGGACAGGGAGACCACCCTTTGCTTTACAGGATCCAAACAATGAACAGTTCACTCTCACCTCATCCAAGCTGTTCCTTTTATGCTTGAGTAAACGGCGACCATGAAGGTCACGTGACTTAGGGGGACCTTACTCAGCTAGATGTCCTAGTTCTCTCACCATCTTGTCTCCCCACTCTGTCGCCCGTGTCCTGGTTTTCTGCTGCTTCTGGTCCTCCTCCACCTTTGGGGAGACCCCCCCGTCTCTGTGTCCTGGGACTTTCTGATTTCAGCAAGATCCGCACGCTCTGACCTGACTTCTGCTAAGAAGCAGCTCTCTGTTACCCCGTTCCCGTGTTTTAACAGGGAGCCCAGTCACCCTGGGGACACAGCTTTAGAGACCAAGGGGAGAGAAAAGCAGTAATCCAATGACCACATGCATGTCCCTTTCAGTGAGATCTAGAGCCTCCCCATTGGCCTTAGAACATCCATTTAGCAGGCAATCAAGAATCTGTTCCATCAGAGAGCTGTACATACACATGCACTTAGCCCACATATGTTAAACTTGAAAGAAATGCTTTTCTTAAAAAATTCCTACAATATTTTATGTAAGATATTTTATATATCTTTTATATATCATGCCTTGTGTGCAGCATGTTTTTAGCTTCTATAGCTCAGCCTTATTAAATTTTATTACTTATCTGTAACATACTGCTTTGAATGGAATTGTTGAAAGGATTAAAGTTAGTGTTTTGCTTAGGTCTCTTAAAAATGTGACAGTCTGTGGATATGAGTGACCTAGAACCATACCATTCTCTTCCGAGTAAGCAGAGGTTTCATCATCACTTCTCAGTGATTCAAAATTTTCTTAATGAAAACTCAAGTGAACTAGTTTGCATTTCCTCCCTGACTGTATAGGCCTAACCCTTGATTTTTTGTACCAAAGAAAACACAGAAGATTCTATAAAGTAGCATTTAAACAGATGAACAGAGTGAACTTCTTCTGTACTTACATCTCGGAAGTTAGCTTGAAGTACAGTGTTGATGTATGTTGGTGTGTATGACACTATGATATAATTACGCCAATATATACTAAATGCAGACACTAAAATGGCCCAGAGTGGCAGGGATCTGACCATGGCCTTCAGGGGAACAGACCAGCCAGGAGAACCGCCCTAGAAGAAAGCACATAACAGTGTCCCCTGCATCAGAGACAGAAGCTTTGCTCTACTGCACATCTCACCTCCAGTACACACAGACAGACATGGGAGGTGACAGAGGAGATGCTCAGTGCACCTGTTCAACCAGTGAAGCCACGATGTATTCCTTCTCAGCAGGGCTGATAAACGGATGATTCACAGGGTCATCGTAGACAAGAGGAAACCAGAGCAAAGTACAGGCACAGCCTATTCCACCTGGGAGAAGAGGGTGCAGTTAGCACTGGGTTGGAGTTTTTCCATTTGACTCTAAGCTGGGATGATTCTGGCAGTTCACAGTGACTGTCCCCAGTCACCTCTGCCTTGCATCTATTCCAGGATGGTGCTATCACTGGTGAATGGTGCTCTCCCTGCACTTGAATTTGGCTTTGGTTATATAACTTGCTTTTGTCAATACCCTGGTGGCATTTCCATGTCCATGTTTAAAGAAACATGCAGTTTTTCACGTTTCTATTTAGGTCTTAACCACTGTAATAGGGAGAACATGCTCCAGCTTACCCATTTTCTAAAATAGATAATGACACAGAGAACACAGCTGCCCAGGAATAGGATAATAAATGTTCAGGCCACAGAGTTGGGGGACACTTTAAAATGCAGTTAGTTGTTAGAAGTACTAGTGAGCGCCATTTGTTTGACAATATCCTCACATTGAAGTACTGTCAAAATTTCTCCTTCTCATCATACTGGTGCAAAGTTCCTTCTATCATTAGTTCCTTCCATAACTAACTCTATCACTGAAGACTTAGTGGCAGGCATAGTTGCGACTGATTATCCAGACAGTTCATGAAATTAATCATCAGCAGAAGGATTTTTGGTAATGATATATTATTCTGAATTTGTCAACTAAGCATTATTAGTGCCGTCTGCAAATGTGATTCACCTTAAAATTCCCTTTAGAACCTTAAGAATAGCTAGAGAGCTCTTTTCAGTTGTTTGGTTGTGATTGACATATCCTTCACAAATGCAGAATAACTCACAAACACCAAGATTTTTGCTAGATCTTGAGAGTTAAGGAATACCAAGTCACAACTTTTTTAACAAGTCACGTAAGATAAAATGTGGAGGTATAGATCTGAAAATTAGTACTAGTGCATATTGAGAATGTAGGATATGAACAGATTCCATGATTTTTAGTGAGTTCATGTCTTAAACATGCCATTGGACATGACAACATAGAGAATTGAGCCTCTAGAATACTCAATGTGATTTGGAAACTGTCAATCTCTATGTATTTTATCCACTCCTAAGTCTCACGTGATCAGTCCTTCATGGAATCCTCTATTGGTTGATTCTCTGCTCTAAGCAGTATTTTTATCTCTGATATTGTCACATTCCCACCATTTCCTATTGAGTAAAATGATGAGCACATTAAAACATTTGTTAAATAAGTAAGAAAGCCTGGCTCCCAATATATTCCTTTCCAACATAACCTTTACAATAGCTCATGAAAGAAACCTAACTGGGATTCCTTTTGGGTGAATTTAGAAGCAAAGTCATCAGGTTATTTTAGCTACAGACTCAGGTTCCCTAAACTTAAATATGACTTTGCAGTCACACATGATGAGCTCTGACATTATCAACTACAGTTATCAAATAAATACCAATATCTATTAGGATTTGACTAACTGTAGATGACTTGGACAAGAAAGCACACCCAGCGTTTTCTCTGTCATAAAACAACATTCTGAGAGGGAAGAGCACAAACTCACCAAAGATATAGAAGACATAAGGCCACCCAATGGTGTCGCAGACGAGGCCGCCGACGGACAGGATGACAAAGCTTCCCAGTAAGACTCCTGCAGAAGAAGTCAGGTAATTTCTCATGAGAGGGTCAGTCTTGGGAGTCTCTGCCTCTCACAGAATGAAACTCCACAAAGCTGAGTTCACAGGGATTAATGGTATGAGCTGAAATCCAGACGACCTACTTAAATTCCTGCTCCTTCCCTCACTAGCGGTGTGACAACGATGTAGCTTATGCAGACAGCTAACGTGCCAGTTACCTGATCGAGCAATGGTGATAAGCTGACTTCTTTCCACTGGGGGGGCCCATTTGACCCAAATTGAAAACTGACCTGTTAATACCATAACCTAAAAAGAAAAGTTCCCTTCTTAGTATCTGAAGTCACTTTGGAAACCATATTCCATTTATACTTAGCAGACACCTTTGTACCTGGGCTATGCCTTGGATGACGCGAAGGACAATGAGCAAGGTCACCCCAGTATCAGCTGCCAGTGGAGTGAAGAGGGTCAGGACTGAGGAAATGAACAGGCCAGCACCAACCACGTACTTGGCCCCAAACACACCAGCCACATAGCCAGTGGGGATTGGAGCAAAGAGAGAGCCATAGTTGAGGGCACCAAGGAGGATTCCCTGGATCTCAGGATTCCAGTCATAGACAGGTGCCTAGATGAAGAAAGGGGAACCACCATTAATATATGCCTATGAGAAGGCACTTTTGTGAGGACTTGCAAGGCATAAAATGATAATAACTGGAAGTTTCCTTTCATCTCTCAGTTTCTCTAATCTATAAATCACATCAAGCATAAAGAAAATAGAAAGATATTGCCAACCTACTTTTCCAATATTTATTTCCCTGGTGTCCCCTGATAATTGGTTCATTTAAACATGAGATTCCCCAAAAGAAAGTATCCTATAAATGAGTAGCATCATCAAAAAAATAAAAACTATGTAGACAAAAGAGAAGAGTATTTAAATCTGCAACTTATATGTAGATATTTTACCATTTTAAGGGAAGAATTTATGCCCTGGAATGATCAAATCTGTTTCCTTCATTCTAATTGCATCCATGCTAACACACAGACACTAAGTAGGGATATAATCTTCCTACATATTAAGTTCATGCATAGAATAATTCCTGGAACATAATAGATAATCGATCAATATCTTTCTCATCAAAACCTTTTGAATTTAAGAAAGCCACAGTCTCACTAAACTTACCACGGCCTTGAGTTCCTCTGGAGTTTCACTCCTATTGTCTGGGGCTTCAGTGGGAGGCCCTGCTTTGGAGACGTTGGCTTGGCTGGGTAGGGCTGTGTGGTTTACCATAGCTGGCATGGCGATGCTAAAATTCATTTGTTGTGTGAACATTGAAAAGTGACAGAGAAGCAAGATGAAGGCCAGCCCATGTCGGACTGAGCAAACACCTGAGAGGAGAAAGCACAGAAATTTGGGGAGGCAGTTACTTTCCTTTGCACCCTTCCTCAGTCCAGAAAAGGAAGAAGATACGTTCTGAGAACAAGGATGTGCAGGAAGCGATGTGCTCTGTACAGACTGGTACACACCTGTTCCCCTGATGAGTGAGTGCATCAGTAACTGCTCCACAACCACTGCCCAATCAGAGACTTGAAGAATGTGTGGAGGTGGCTAGAATGAGTATTCAGAAAGGGATTTCTAGACAGGGCCCTGGGATGCAGTGAGAAGAGTGGAGGGATACGGTAGTGGGATACGGATGGCAATGGTGTAGTGTGGGAACACCACTTTACAAATGGCCTTCCCGCCTCCTGCATGAGCACCTGGGAGGGAAGGTGGCGCCAATTAGGAGCAGGGAACAAAGCATGATTAAGGGCTGGGAGATGATGCTTGAAAGGTGGTGGGCGAGGCAGAGTATAGAGGTCCATCAGCTTCATCTTTCAATTTTTAGTTAGTCTCGCACACAATGTGCCAGTGTTCATGGGAACTCCTGGGTGATCCTGGGGCTGAGTGCAGGCATACAGTTAGACAGGAGCTGAAGGGTTGATCGAACTGCCCTGTCCTCGTGGCATGTGGGTGCCTCCCATTCTGACTTCTGCCAAGGAGCAAATGCAGGTGGAGGGTCAGTGCTGTTCCCCTGTTGCGTATAGACACCCTTGTTAGGAGGTGACTGCCAAATCCCACTGTGCTTTAGATTCTGGGAGCATTTAGTTGAGACTCTGCTGTTCCTCATGCACAAAACTTTACAATGTAATCTGGGTCACCCCCGCATTTGTAGGGCAGAAAATTCTAAATGGGATCACAACATTACAACATTGCCTTCCCTGAGCCAAGCACCAGGATGATGCCCCTTGCATTCAAGTCTGTTTCTCTCCCAAGGCAGAATTTTACAGTAATCTTCACTTAAATCCAAATTTTTACTGTGTATAATTGTTTCTTTAAATTAGACCTTTTTTCAACCATTTTTATCCATTTTTTTCCCCTTTGGATCTGGTAGTGGGAAAAAGAAATCACCAAGCACATACTCCTTCAGTACAACTAATAGATAAAAAGGGTGGTGCTTTTGCCATTTGTAGAATTATGTTATTCTCTGGTAATTTTATGCATTGGCATTTTTAAAAAAATCGTAAATAGGAAGCTTGGGCGCAGGCAAACCTGCCATGTCTGAATTCCCTGAGAACTTTTCTCAATTACTCCACTGCTGTCGTGGGTGGGTTTGGACCTTTATGTAGTAAGCTATCCTTTTCCTATGCTTTTTTGGGTGGATGCATGAGTTTTCTCAAACGCATTTTAATTCTGATGCCACACATTTGGACACCCGACTTAGTTTCTTTTTGTGCTTTTGGGCAGGTTATTGGGCTCTCATGCTTTCATTCATACATCCTTCAAGTGGGGTAAATGACAGAACTTTCTCAAAGCAGTTCAGGCAGTATTAAATATGTTTACAGAACTTCATTGTAATTATTAACTGATATTAAACAATCATTTCATTTTAGACTAACCTATTAATATGTTTTAATGAAAGCATATGATTTATTTTGCTAAAACAGTAACTAAAATTTCACAGCATTAGATATAAAAGCTTAAAATGTAGTTTGTGCATGAGTGTTATTTTGCCGGCTAGCTTTGCACGGAGAGAGAGTTACAACTTTCCTTCTCAACCTTTGGCTGAAGCATTTTAGCTGCACAGCCATCTTACTTTCCTCAGTAACTTTTATTCCAAGAAGTTCCAGGCCTATCGGATTAGTGAGAGTGTGGACTCCGCACATTCAGTTTCTGCTGTTCCTACATTCACTTTTGGCATGTCTGGTGCACGTGGGCCCAGGAATGACCTTCCACAAACTCGTGCCCACACGTGACTCAGGCATCTCGGCTGTGTGGCTTCCTTCTGGCCCCGAGCCCTACCCAGGACACCAGAGCACATTTCATTTTCATGTTGCCTGTGGGGCTACTTTTGCCTAGGAGTTTCCCAGACCTTCTTCGTTTTGATGAGCTTGGCCACTTTGAAGAGGGCCGGTGAGGTGTTGTGTAGAAGGTCCCTGAATTGGCTTTTCTCCATATTTTCCATGGTTAGACGGAGGTCACGAGTCATTTAGAGGATGATGGGAAGGTGAACTGATGTGCTCCTCAGAGCATACAAAGGGTGAGTGTTAGCGCCATGACTCTCCTCTGGTGATAGGGACCTCGATCATCTTCTTGCAGTGCAAGTGGTCAGGTCTCTCTCTCTATGTGAAATGGTTCCTTTTCCCTTTCTTTCTGCAGTGTCCTGGGGAAAGTCACAGGTACAGACCTCACTCAAGCTGAGAGCAAATCCATCTTCTCAAAGTGGGAACCTCCATAATATGGGCACAAGATACATAAGCATTTTCTATTCCTTAAAAATCTTACAAATGTTTTCTAGTGAATTTAATAGGACATGATTAGTCTTTTAAAAGGGGTAGTTTTATATTAAATTTCTCCATTCTTATACAGGATTTTTTTTACAATAATGTTTTTTTCTTATTTTTAAATCTTATATTTTTATAGAAATTGAGTGCTTTATCTACATTCCCCATCTGAATTTGAATTTGAAGGCTTATGTCTCTTTTTACCTCATGATGGCTTATCCTGAAATCTTTTTTTTAAATTAAATTAAATTATATTAAATTTCTTTATGCATACAAGAACTGGGGTATAGGCCAGGGATGTGGGGAGTGAAAAGATTCACCAGAGGAAGAGTGGGGAGCAGAATAGGCAGATGTACTGAAACACACTGCTAAGAGGAGCAGTGGGTGGGTCAGGAGTGGTCTACTGCACCATGTGGGTCACCTCCCTGGTGGGGGATCAAATTCATGCTACAGTGGCTTCAGATAGCTTCATATCTGCATCTTAACCCCTTGCACCACCAGGAACGTCTCTCTCTGTTGATCAATCAGAGTAGTAGATTGTTAGTATTATTGGTGTGACTGCCAAGATCACTATCAAAGAATAAACTCCACTACGTATTTTCATTTCAATATCCTTTGTGATACAAGCTTATAAGCTTATATTTTTTCCACAGTGATGTTGTTGAATTTGTTTTTGCATATACTTTTCCTTGCAATTTTAGACTCAGTACATTGGATGCTTAAGTAACAATTTCTCTAATAATACATTACTGAAAAATCTTGTATGTTGTGACTTAATGAGAGGGAGGAAAAAAATGACTCAGTATAAAGGTAACTGATCTGAATTTTTCCTTCATCTGGAAATAATGACTTGATACCTACTGTGATATCCAACATTCAAAGTTCCTTTACGAAGCAAAATAGTTCTCAGCAAAGTACTTCCTGCTGCTAGAATTCTTGGCATTTGGTGATATCAGGACATGCTGTATATCATGAAAAGGGGAGTCAGTTGACATTGACCCAGATTTAATAACAGTAGGACATGATATTACCTGTCCTGGAGGCTTGTGCTTGAGTCATACTTAACATCTTCAGAAGCCTCTCCCACTCTTTCCCGGGTTTCTACTGTAGTAGACATGAGCCTCTTCTCCCAGGTACCAGCAGCTATCTACTAAAATAAAAGAGTACAAGAGGAAATAGAGAGGAATGTTTTATATATGACAAGACACAAGTTCTTCTAAAGATTGGTATAAATGCTATAAATGTTGGGAAAAGTTTTAGGTTAACTTCAAAAAGCCTTTTGTTGTCATCCAACTCTACCCTCCTGATAATTGTTGGACTTTCCAAAGTTTACCCTTCCAAAAACAGCTACTTGCATTAGTCACTGTCTCTCTAAAATGGGGGAGATAGTTTGGATTGTCCTGCTAAATTATAATATTCTTTCAACTTTTGTTATTCCCATGTCTCTCCAATAGTAGTATCAACTGAATGTTAAAACTTGACAATATTCTTTGAAACTTTTAAAATAGTGTAAAAAATTTATGTCAGAACAGAATTGTTTAATATCTGGGTATTGCTTCACAACCCTTTGTGAGCTTAAGTACCTCCTCACCCTACTGACTCAGGTGAGTACATTAAACAGAAATGGTAACAGCGGACATTTTTGGCTTGTGCCAGATTTTATTGGGAACGTTTAAAGTTATTCACCACTGAGTACTGTCTGTTGGTCTATAATATGTGGCTTTTGTTTTACTGAAGTAAATTGCTTCTAGTGTCAAATTTTTATCATAAATGTTTGTGCAATCTTATTAAATGTCGTCTCCGCATTATAAGATGTATCATTATTTTTTTTTGAAATGATGGATTACAGTAATTGATATAGATATATTAAGCCATCTTTCATCCCTGGGAGGATAAATCCTACTTGATCATGGTATAGTAACCTTATGATTACCGTTGAATTTGATTTGCTGAAATGTTTGCTTTGGTGTTCATCAGAGATGATCTGTGATTTTTGTTCCTTGTGCTGTCTTTGTGTGGTTTCTGAATCAAGGCAATGTCACATCATAAAATGTATGAGAGAGTATTCTCACTTCTTGTGTTTCTGTTTGTCTAGTGTTTTTGTGAGGTGCAGTTTCTTAGCTCCATTATTTCTAATTGTGGCTGCCTCATATTTCCCTTATCCTTCCAATGTTATATCTCCCATAAACATTGTTAAAACTGTTGCCTGAATTTCCTTTCTGACATGCTGTATATTTCTGAGTCAACATTCATTTCAGGGCTTTTCCCTCTGGCATTGATGATGTGTTCTATCTCCTCATTTTCATTTTTTAAGTGGGTTTTTTTTTAAAGATTTATTTATTTATTCATACAGAACTGGGGTACAGGCCAGAGATGCGGAGGGTGAGAGGATTCACCAGAGACAGAGTGGGGAGCAGAACAGGCAGATCGATGAAGTACACTGCTGAGGGGAGCAGCGGGCGGGTCAGGAGAGGTCTGCTGAGCCATGTGGTCACCTTCGGGGCAGGCGGGGATCGAACTCATGTGGAAGTGACTTAAGCTTCTTAGTGCTGCTGT